CTGTTGTCTCTGTTTTTGATGATAGGCAGCCATTCAAGTTCAATGCTGTGATCTGTTAATTCATTAGGTATTGTTATGAAATAAACTTTTCTTTTTTTCCTTCTTTCTCTTGGTAGTATTTTATAGAAGTGGATGTGTTGTTCAGTAATGATAAATTAGCAATGCTTGAAAGTAGAAATTATAAAAATATCAATATAAACTTCATCTTTCACCATCTCCATTTGTTGATCATCTGTTTTTTTATCTATATCTTTTACATCTTGGTCAAGAAACATTTTCAGGAATCATTTACTACCTTAAGTCTTAGAAATTTAAAAAAGAATTAATTATTTTTATATATTTATGATTGACAAAAAAGCCAATAGCATATGAGTCAAGTGATATAAATTATATAAGCTTTTCCTGAGGAAAAGTTTATTGAGATAAATACTGTTTGTCCTTACCCACAATTATTTTTGTTCTTCAGTGACTTAAAGCTGTAATATAAGGTTCAGATTTTCCTAACCATCCTTTTCTCATTTTCTAAAATCCAGTAGTCAGAAGATATTTTATGTAACCCAATATATGCAATCTCCTTAGAAAGTATATACTTCCTAAATGCCAAGGGCAAAAATATAAATGATAATGTCATTGTATTTGTCTGGTAAATTTGGGGTACCAACATATTCTATGCTTTTCTGACACAGGTTTATTTTTCTAGCCGAAAAAATATACCTGTAAAAATTGTGTCTGGATAAGAAAAGTCGATAAAACCCTTTAAATCTTGGCCAAAAATTGATTTTATTATTAATAAGGTACTTTAAAGAATGCAGATTTGTTTATAGACTTTTTTATTAGTTTCTCTTCTTTTCCAAGCATCACAAATGTCACTTTTATATTTTTCAATTTATATAATACATGCTGCCTTGCTGCCTAAGAGCGTAACAGAAAAATGGAAACCTAAACTAATCAAAAACTTCCCATGCTGTTGAACATAACATAAAACTGTTCTGATATCTTCCTTCTTAGTGGTTTATGGCCTAAAAAGGCACTTGGTACAACATTTGTTCCTATTGACTTCATTGGCAATCTCAGCAAAATATTTTCATTTTCCTCAATTTTTAAAATTATTTTTAACATGAGAATTACTGAAAGGAGTTAGTATAGTATTATTTTTAGCATAAAGATATGGACTATATGCATTAATTTTTTCCTGACCCAGTCTTTCCTTGACCTAATCTTGTTTGTGTTTTCATGGCTGAATGTTGTGATCAGTTACTTATCAAATATAAGAACACCTTTGTAACATCAATTAAGCACAATAGTGGTCAAGAGCACAGGTTTTAGAGTGAGACAGTCCTGGGTTTGAATCATAGTGCTGTCCTTGCTGTCTCTGTACCTCAGACAAATTATTTAACCTCACTGAGCCTGAATTCCCTCAATTGTAATCTAAAGACAATAAGATCCACCATACGAGATAGAAATGTTATGAAGATTAAAGTATATAACGTATTCAAAGTGCCTGGAACAAAACACAGTGTTTGGAATGTAGGATGTAGCTATTATCCATTATAGTAGCAGGAGTACCCATTAACTGAGATATTCATAGACTCCTTGCCCCAGGTTCGGAATCCTGGTATAAAATAAAACTGAAGAACTTTTGATTGTTTTTGGCTGTAGAATTTTTTTCACTGGTTCAAGCAAAATTTCTACTTTGAGATTAGTTTAAGAGAAAAGCACATTTTAAAAATTTCCTTTAGCCTTACACTGAAGTAATTAACTCATAAGAAAAAGTAAGACATAATAAGATAGTTATTTTAAAGGGGTACCTCTCCAATATCTAAATATATTATTTTGTATTTAAAGGTAACATATCATAATGTATTTGTTTTGATTGACATATGCAGGATATGTGAAAACCAGATTCAGATTGTGCTTATGCACTAAGCAGAATTATTTTTATAATATGCAAGCGTTATGTTGGGGTGTGTGCTTCTATCAGGAAGCTTTTAATGGGAAATTTCAAATATACACAAAAGTAGATAGAATAATATATACCATGTACCCATCATCAGCTTTAGTAATTATCATTATGGCCGATATTGTTTTACATATACCCCCATCTGCTTCTCCCCTTTCATAATTTGTTGAAGCAAATCTTATACATTTTATTTCATCTGTAAATGTTTCCCATTTGTATCTCTAAAAGATAAAGACTCTTACATAACCACATAACCACAGTACCTTTATCATACTTTCAAATAATAATCTCTTGATACCATCAATTATCAGTCATTGTTCAAATTTTTACTTGTCTCTTTTTTTTTTTCCTGAGATAGAGTCTTGCTCTGTTTCCCAGGCTAGAGTGCTATGGCATCAGCTCACAGCAACCTCAAACTCCTGGGCTCAAGCAATCCTCCTGCCTCCATCCACCTCCTCAGTAGCTGGGACCACAGACATGTGCCACCACACCCCGCTGATTTTTTTCTATTTTTAGTAGAGACGGGGTCTCACCCTTGCTCAGACTGCTCTCGAACTCCTGACCTCAAGGGATCCTCCTGCCTCAGCCTCCCAGAGTGCTAGAATTATAGGTGTGAGCCACCATGCCAGCCTTGTCTCTTAACTGTTAAAATTTTCCTAACAGTGTATCTATTTGAATCAATATCCAAGTAAAGTCCACAGATTGGGATTAATAAAACTTTTAAGGTTCATCTAATCTTCCAAAAGTTTTTTTTTTTTTTTTTTTTTTTTTACTTCTTACAATTTAGTTGTTGAAGAAACTTTGTCATTTGTAGAATTTCCTACAGACTGGCTTTTGCTGTATAGTTTAACATATACCTCTCACCCTGTCTTTCCTTTAAAGTTATGGTAATTGAATCTAGAGGCTTGATAAAATCTAGGTTTGATTTTTTTTTTTTTTAGGGGCAAGAGTACTTTATAGGTGATGGTATGAGCCTCCATCAGGAGGATAGATCTCTCCTGTTGTCTCTGTTTTTGATGATAGGCAGCCATTCAAGTTCAATGCTGTGATCTGTTAATTCATTAGGTATTGCAAAATGCTGATATTCTCTTACTTTTTGTCTTCATTTATTAGCTGTAATATTCCTATAAAGAGGAACCTTCATCTGTTTGGATAGCCTAGTTTCTTGGTTGAACTAATAACCCGCAAGAACAATCCGTAGGGGGCTTATCATACAACTAATATTTTCAAATATCTGCTAACTTTATGGTCATTATAGTTCAGAAATGGTGATTAAGATATGTATCTCTAGCTATATGTTTATAAATATAGATACAGATCTTTATATATTTAATTAAAGTTTGAATCATTAAAGTAAGAACACTAAAGATATACCAAAGGTCATGAACAATTATAAGTCTAAATTTAAAAAATAAAATTCTTAAAGTTTATACCAGCTTTATAAATTTCAAAATATCTGTGATTTTTACTTAGAATTTTCTGACATATTGATCTCTTGTGTTTATTTTGTTTGTAATATATTATTTCTATAAAATGTCAATTAAAAGGGAATGCAGTGGTGTCTTTTGAAAGAAGAGGATGTCATTCCTCGTATCAGGGCAATGGAAGGTCGTAGAGGAAGACCACCAAATCCAGATAGACAGCGAACAAGAGAGGAATCCAGGATGAGACGTCGGAAGGGTCGACCTCCAAATGTTGGCAATGCTGAATTCTTAGATAACACAGATGCCAAATTGCTAAGAAAACTGCAAGCTCAAGGTAAGAAACATAATGTATCTGACACTAATAATCATATTAAAAATTATACTAAAAGTATTTCTTATGTTTTTGACTTAGGAATGATTGACACTGCTCTCAATTTCTAAAATGTAGATATTTGTGTAAGAATAAAATGAAAAAATAAGGAGTCCCGCTGGTAACTGGAGTTCTTTGATTAGGTAATGTTCTTTCAAGAACCATAGTCATAATAAACACATCCTACCCTGTGTGTTTAGAATTACTAAGGTAGGTGTTAAGCTTTTAAGGCTTGCAAAGAAAGGGAATCAACCAGCACTTGGCACATGCCTTAAGGTCGTGCCAACCTTCTGGAAATTCTCATTTTAACAGCTCCCGATTCCTTGAGGTGGTACATGGGAATACCTCCAAAATATGTGGATCTGTGGAGTAAATTTTCAGTCAGAGAACTCCAATTACTGGTAAGTAACCCCAGTCTTTTAGTTTGGGTTCTCCTGTAGTCTGGATAAGATCACTAGAAGGTATCATTGATCAAGCTTAAAATGCTCATAACCTCAGATGTATTAATAATTTGAAATTATATATAAATTATCATTATGAAGTTCCCATGCTACACATGGCACAGAGAAGGCTTAGTGAAATGAAATGGTTTTACTTTGCAGTTTGAGTTACTAGTTGAAAATATGAAGCCTCTTAAGGCTGTCTGAATATAACTATCATCTTATGTGTAGATGTCTTATATTTGCAAGCATATATGTAAAGATATATGACAATATAAAATAAAGGTTTAATAATGAAAATTTACTTAAAAAAAAACAGAATTTTACTTCTTCTCATGAGTTTTTTACTATTCCTATAAATAAACACCAAAATGTGAAGGAAATGCCTGAAAAACTTATTTCTGTTTATTGTAAGCACCATCATAATATTGACTTCTTTGTTGCTGCTTTGTTTTTATTATAGAACAAAAATATCCATGACAAAAGCTCATAGAACAGAATGCTTTAAAATAAGACACTCTCAGTCTCACTCATCAGTAGAATAATTAACAGGTTTTTGTTAATCTTTCCAGAAATGTATACACACACACACAAACACATTCAAACATTCACATATACATATATATATATTTTATTTATAAAATATGTAGATTTATAGTATACATACTATTCAGCTTGCTCTTTTTCCACTTTATGTTGAATATCTTTCTATATCAGTACTTACAAATCAGCATAATTTTTTTAATGGCTGAATATTAAGTGATGCCACATGTGGTACTACTATACTTCATTTAATCAGTCTCTGGTTGATGACTGTTTAATCTACTTCTGGATCTTTGCTATCACACTGTTGCAATAAATATATATTGCACATATCTAAATATATTATACATACCATTTTCAGTTTTGGTCAATAGCAAGCAAATACTGTCTCCAAAAAGGTTGCACCAATTCATACTTTGACCAATGGCATGTAAGTTAAGTCTAGCATATAACTTAATATCATGTAAGTTTTTTTCTGTCTTAGTATGTTAGTCAAATATTTTTCAAATATTATTTGATTTCTTATAAGACCTTCATCTTCCCCAAATAGTTAATACAGAAGGTTAAAAAGAAAAAAGTGATTAACAGACATAGATGAGTTTTAAAAATTAGTATTGTCAATAAGCTATTTACTCTTCTGAAGAGTGTTTAATGGTGGGGAATGTGTGCATTGTTTGCATAAAATAAGAGAGCTTGAAATTAACTGATACCCAAAACATGGGCTCTTCATGCATATTTTGCATATTTAATATAAGTATCATTATTCCTTATTATCCAAAATGGCAAATTTAAATTTGCAAAATTAACTATATTTTTATTGTAACAAAAGAGAAGTTAATTGTTCAACTTTTACCAATATTTTCTCTCAAAAATTTCGAATTTCGAATTGATTTGTATTTGATTACATAGTTCTTTCTTGTATTGGTTTGCATTTTGCAACTTGTGCTACCTTTGACCTTATTGTGTACATGTGTTTTTTCACAACATATATGTAAAGATTAAATATTTGACAGTGAATAATTATTAATATTTACAAGTATATGGGATATAGTTTATATGGTTTTGGGGGGAAGAAAAGAGAATGAATCACTTTGTCATCTCTTTTATTTCTAAAAGACTTCCATATTAACAGTTTGGGGGATTATCTGAGAGGATTCTGGGAAGTTTTTGTTATATTGTTGTCCTAGGAGGACTTAACTAGACTGAAAACTGGACTTAATTTGAAGAAAGAGTCAGAACACTGACATAAATTTGAGTTTTGAATGTACATCCAAACATTGTGAAATGAGAACTCTGATTTCTCGGAGAGTACAGAATAAAATCTGATAAGGAGGCCAGGCATAGTGGCTCACACCTGTAATGCCAGCACTCTGGGAGGCCGAGGCAGAAGAATCACTTGAGGTAGGAGTTTAAAGACCAGCCTGGGCAACATAGTGAGACTCTGTCTCTACAAAAAAATAGAAAAATTAGCCAGGCATGGTGGCACACACCTGTAGTCCCAGCTACTTGGGAAGCTGAGGCAAGAGGATCACTCCTGATCCCAGGAGTTCAAAGTGTCAGTGAGCTACGATGACACCACTGCACTCTAGCCTGTGCAATAGAGTGACCCTCTCTCTTAAAAAAAAAACCTGACAAGGTTTGAATATGATAAAGTCTATATAAATAAACCTGCTTGTTAATTGACCAATACTGTTAACATGTCAAATTTTCCAAAATCTCAAGTAGCACCCCTCCATTTCATATACCTTGGAGACTGAGATGCCATATAAGTAATCTATATGATGCACCATTATTTTAAGATGTACTACTGGGAAAGAAAAGTATTGCCAATTGTCAGACACATTCTCATTTTAGGGATGTTAAAATGTTTAGAAATCAAAGAAAAAAGTCATGTCCAAAATATCCCTAATCCTATGTGAAAATAAACTTTATTTTAAAAATAAACTTTTATCTTCAAAATTAAGGCAGACAAGTAACATCTTAAGCCATAAAAGATGTTTTTCAATTAATATTTCAAAAATCAATTATAGCATAATATATTCACCAACCATAAACCAAATAAATGAGAAGGTATTGGAAGTAGTTTACTCCTGAGGGCCTGGGTGAACTTTTCTAGGTCTCTAACTCATTTTCTTTCCTCCATAGTGTCTCTAATTTTTTTTTCACATCTTCTCTCACTGTTCATAATGTAAAATTTAAGCTGTATACATTTTAAATAATGAATCAAAATTGCATATTCCTTGCTAAAATGAAAAGATATGAGTTGAACTTTTTAATGTTTTTTCTGTCCAAAGAGTTGAAATATAAAAATTACTATGACTTATGTGGGGCCCGAAATTGACTGATACACTTATACGCAAACACACATCTATATATTATACAAATTCCTGGTTCAAAGTTAAACTTCTATTAAAGAACATCAGTTTAGCTTGAAGCAATAGATCATGCGTATGTAACATTTTCTAGGAAACATTTTAACCACTTAGCATATCCTTACATCTTAACACAGAGTTAGGCCATTATAGCAGAGTTCAAAACTTTCAATGCTTAAATGTTAAAAAAAATATTTATCTGGCATTATAATAGATGTTAATGATATTCTTTGGGTTTATAGTTATCAGAGATCGCTGACACTACAGGTCAGTTTATAGGTTTTTATTTCCCGGAGTATTTAGTTAACAGGAGATCCTGTGTGTGTGATCTCAGAAATTTTTGATGATGCCTATAACCTAATATTGAAAATTATTAGAAAATTGGAATTGTACTTTATCATCAGCTTCTATTTTATCTTTCTATTAACACTTCGAATTTACTAGATAAAATTAAACCTTTTTACATCGTTTCCCCTTTTTTAAAAAATCTTAATCATAGGAAATTAGCCATAGTAACCAACTTCACTTCAGCTATTACAAAGACATGGGGTTAAGTTTTTAGCTAAAATCTCAAGGCATTCAAATTTTGCTTCACGTTTTTTAGAGATAGTAGCATGGAGACCATGGAGTCAGAGAGGCCTGGATTTTATATCTTGGCTCTGCAATTTAACCTCTATAAGCCATAGTCATTTTATGTGTAAGCTAGGCATAATTTTGCTTACCTTTTAAGGTAATTGTGAAGATTAGACAAGATCATATAATTTAAGACAATACCTGCATTCAATAAATGGTGGAAATTATTAGAGCTCAAGTGATTCAGGTGCTAGCAATCATATTCATTATCAATGAATATAATCTGTAGGTTCCTTACACTCTTCATCAACTACAAAATTTAAAACAATGTCTACTGTAAAGTGGTGCTTCCTAACATGATTTTATGAGTGATACTATGATACACCACTTACAGAGTTAGAAGTATTCAGATCAAATTTGCCAGCAGAAGAAAGCGATGATATTAAATGTTTTCTGTATCCATTATACCTATTGCCATAGTAATGCTGGTTAACAAACCACCACCAAATCTTAGTGGCATGCAATGCTAAGCATTAATTGCTTGTGCAAATGGAATCAGCTGGAAGTTATCTAAGCAGTTTTGTTGATCTTGGCTGGACTTATTCACATGTATGAGGTCAGCTGGCTCCCAATCTCCACAGCCAGCCCACTCATCTCCTCAGTAATGCATAAGGCACAAGAGTAAAAGTAGAGAGTACACTTATACTTTCAAGCTCTACTTTTATCACAGCTGCTAGTATCCTCTTGACCATAGAAGTTTGCATGGCTGAATTCAGAATCAAGGGACAGGAAAATATATTCCACCTCTTGATGGGAACTGCTGCAAAGTCATATTGCAAATGACAGGGATAGAAGGAGGAATGAAGAATTGGGGCCATTAATTATGTCCATCTACCCCAGTTTCATACATTTGTCCTTGAAAATTATGAGAACTAGATTGTCCTTAAGAATCATTGACATTCTGCATTATTTTTATTTAGGAGAGTTAATCCCACTTTTTCATCCACGAAAATATCACTGGATTCAGGAACTTAACCATTAGTATAGCTAATTGAAATATTTACTACTAAGTTTGTAGGGGAGGGAATTTTGTATTTGTTTTATTTTGAGGTCTTACCGCTTTTTTATATGTTTTGTTATTTTAAGACTGAAACTGTTCTATTCTTACATATAACAGCTACTTTCCTACTAAGTGGGGTTTACTGGAAATGTGAAAAAAATGTACTTAAATGAGCCTCTCTGATGAGGATTGAGGGAAACATTTTTATGGATTTCTGTGTATGTTCTCATCTTTTGATGAAATAATTTGACAATATCTGAGGGAAATAAACATGACATTTTCCACCACACCACTCTCCTGCTTCATATCTGTCTAACCTTAGGCAATTCTCTTAAATATTATATCATTTATGATCATTCCATTTTCACACAGTTATTGTTTCAGGTTATCAGTTGTGTAAAATTGTTAATAAGATTCTTTGAAATTTTGTATTTTTCAGAAATAGCCAGGCAAGCAGCACAAATAAAGCTTTTGAGAAAACTTCAGAAGCAGGAACAGGCTCGGGTTGCTAAAGAAGCTAAAAAACAGCAAGGTGGGTGATTTAAATGAAAACATAAACTTGAAGAGTGAGTATTGGGGGATTCATAAGAGCCTTCTCTTCTTCATTCTTTTTCTGATATCTATACTTTGGTTTCTCGTCATAGCAATAATGGCTGCTGAGGAGAAGCGAAAACAAAAAGAACAGATAAAGATTATGAAACAACAGGTATGTTTATGCATTGGAACTGACTTTTAAAACATGGACCTTATTTTGAGGATTTATTTGTATATGTACATTATCTTCAATTTCTTAAATAACAGTATTTCACATTAATGTTGTATATCTTATTTAGAAAGTTGCTCTCTTACATTAGTTAAAATTTTACCTCACTTTTTAAAGTCTTTTACGTCCAAGTTTTTAAAAAAATGATTACCAAACGGTAAATTTGTATAAATACTTTTAATATCCTTGTAGACTTTGAATATAAGTTGACATCTTGAACAATTTTCAGACTTTTTAAAATTAATATAGCAGTAAATGAAATATATTCCTTGAATGTTCAGATTTCAATAAGAACAGCTTACTGTTCTAAAATATGTAAAATATTAGTAAAAAATTAAATTCAAGTTATATACAATAAGATTTGCCCTCATTGCTTCTGAATTCTTTCAGAGTTACTTAAAAATTGCTACTGCAAAAAAATAACAATAGCATTTTTTTAAGCATACCCAGAGTTCTGTCTTATATCTATAATATCTCTCCCCTATGTGGTTTTCAAGATTAAGTTTAAGTCAGTAGGTAATTTTTAAATTCTTGAAGGTAAAATATTAAGTGAGAAGATATTCAAGTTCATTTAGGATGGGATGTGTAAACTACTCTGTCATCTCTCCAGATACTTGCATTAACATTTAATCAGAATGGAAATGGGGAGAAAGTACTATTTTCTAAAAAAATTTTAAACAGCAAGTAGTTATTTCTAACTGTGAGATGAAATCAGTTGTGTTACTATGTAAATAGCTGCTAAATAAATAGCTCAAGTAGGATTCGATGTGATTATCTCTAAGCTTTTTCTCAGTATTGACTAAAGCAATAGAGAGGGTTAATACAGAGTTGGGATTCAGAATTGAGAGTTTGTAGTCAGGCAGCCTAGAGTTAAATATGGGCTCTGCTACTTAATAATTTTGTGACCTTAGATGAATAACTTAACCTCTAAGTTTCTATTTCCTCCATTGTAAAAGAAGAATTGCATATCTGAAGATGAATGAGATAATGAGTGTAAAGTGCCTACCACTGGGTGTGGCACATACAAATGCTCAGATTTTTAAAGATATATATAAAACATCAAACAATATAGTATACTCTTTTACCATAATTAAAAGTAGTCAATTATAAACTTCAGTTCCTTGGTTTGTCAATTGTGACTGCTAAACATTGTAAGATTGGTTAATGAATGCATTTGTTAAAATATATTTACAGAATAGTGTGTATATATATATATATATATAAATAAGTTCACATTTCATTTCTCAGTGAAATACTGTTATTTCCGTTATACTTTTTTTTTTATAGCTCCTTCTGTTTCCTAATAGCTAGAGACCCATTAGATCCCATCCATACTTTACATTCAGCTTTGCGATCCTGAAGTCTTTAAGTGGCTACAACCTAAATCCACATGGTCTTTGCTGTTAATTGAAAAAGCATTGGGCTCCAAAGGTTCCAGCAACATTAATACAAATGAACTGGTCTTAAGTTTTATTAAGAAATTTATCTGAGGCTAATCTTAGAATATCATCTGATATATTCCTTATTGCCAACGAAGTGAATGAAAGTATAGAATAGTTCTACTCACATGGTCTGTTGTATGATACCTATTTTAAAGTCAGCATTAGATTTAGAATAAAATAGTAGCATGTGCTTCTCATCCTTGGGATTATTTTTTCCACTCAGTAAGCCAAAAATATCACCAGATAGTCCTTAAGGCAGTTTTCTGGAAGGTTGCAGAAGCATTATTATGAAGCAGGAGGCATACAGGCATTGGAATCTAACCAGGGCTCTGTATTTACTATTGGACCTTAGACAAAGTGACTGGCTCAGTGGTTGAGTATTCAGCATTATAAAGTGAACCTATATTATAATAATTTATAATGTTTACATGCTAATGAAAGTATTAGCATTCATATATGTGTGTGTGTGTGTGTGTGTGTGTGTGTGTGGAGATATATATATATATAGATAGATAGATATAGATATATATATATCTCACTTGGACAATTAAGATAAAGCTTTAGAGAATATACTTAAGCCCAAGAGCCCAAGATTCCATATCTCTGTGTGTAAGAGAACAATAAATGGTTTTTTGCTGACTTGAAAATATATGCCACCTTATAATCTTATGATTGAAAAGAAGAGAAAAATTATATCAAGAGTATGCTTTTCTTAGGTCTCAAGTTCTAATCCAAATAAATACTTCAAATATAGATCAAATACAATCTTCTAAGACTTGGAAATGACACAAAAGATATACTTTGGGGTTTTTATTTTTGGCAAGCTGTAATTAATATTCAGTACCAATATAGGATTACTAACAGCAAAATTATAGAATGTAATCAATGTTCTAAAATCAGAACAGTAATTCCTAAAATCTCATTATCCTGCAGTAGACCCCTTCAGGGAATCAATAACGTCAGTGTACAAAAAGAGAAATAAATTAAAATGCATTTTAAAGTATAGCTTCAGAAGGTACAAGTAGCATCTGGAAATTGGACTAGGTATTATAATACAGCAGTATAAAATATGTTGGCTCCAAAAATTCTGGGAGAAGTATAATTTGCAAGTGGGAAACTTTGGGTGTTTTTTTGAAAACTTGTGTTTATTCTCATCAATGCCAATTTGGGACTTTCAAAGGATTTATGAACATGAAATTGCGAACAGTGTGCTCATAGCATATGAAATATTTTTTTTAAATCAAAATGTAAATTCTTATCAAAATTTACATGATCACTAAATTATAAAACATAGCCAATAACAAGTTCATTACATTTAGACAATGTGTACACCAATTATGTCATATAAATAATTCCCTGGAATGTTAAATTTTAATTAATCCATTTTTAAATAAGGTTACAAATTATTTCTGAAATGGGCTAATTGTGATAGTTAAAGCAATGTCATATTATCATGTTATTCAGCATATAAAATAAATTTTAGGATGGAAATTATTGTTAATAATGTATTAGAGTTGTGTCACCGTCTACATTTTAAAGCATTTTTTATTTAATCATGACAAAATGCGAAAAGGCAAGCACTTTTCCCTTTTTTATGGAAGAATAGTTATTATTTGTGCAAGATCATTCAATAAATGACAGTAACCTAGGACCAGCCTTATACTTTCTGACTTCTGATACACTATTTTTTCTTCTATTCTGTCCTATATTTATTTCAAATTAAGTATTATTTGTAATTGCAAATATTTATGAAGATCCTCAGACTATATGAGTTTAATCAATTTGGTTTATCTGGTTTC